TGGCTAAAATCTCCTTAAATTCCCACATTTTCAAAACTTATGTTTGGCACAAAAATAGCAATAGCGTCTCTAAAAGAGCACCATACCTACAGTCAAACGCGGTAGTGGCAGCTTCATACTGTGGGTTTCTTTTTCTAATTGCGCTATATTTTTTGTCAAATATGTCTGGTTTTGATGCTGGACCTTCCAGTGAGTCTAAGATCTCATCAAAATAAAACAATTACACCAAACAGGACATTTATTTTTTTTTTTTTTTAACAAAATGCATATTTTGAAATGACCTAAGGAGAACGATCTCTGAAAGAAGTTTTTGGATCGATCTGAGGATGACTGTGGAGAAAAATGCCATCAGAAACTACAGTATTGTGAGAACTTCCCTCACCTCACATCACTGTCCCTCCCTGTAGAGGAAATGTAGCCGTTGTTAGCTCAGGCAGTGTTAGCCTGCAGCTCCCTTGGAGGCCAGTTTATGTGACTAGAATGAGGTACTGAGACTGTCTTTTTGGCACATACTCAGTCTGTTAATGAATGTCAAATTTTTAAAGTCAGGACATTGTTTGGATTGTGCTCAGGCTCTCTATATTGAACTCCTATTTTAGGAGCTAATACTGCAGCTGTGGTGGAGGATGAGTTTTCGTGACGGTACCTAGCAGTAGTTCTGTGCGCAGCAGAGTCTCTCAGGAGCCTTTGATTAAAGCAGCAGTCTTCTCCTCTCCTCCGATGTGTTTCCAAGCTGCAGTATGTAGGCGGTGTGGCAGAGGTCACTTGTATCGAGCTGAAAGTCCCGTACAACCAGAACAACTCCCGGGGCCTCATTACGGCTCGGTATCATTGATGGGTTGAGCCTTTTCCTGACCGGTCCTACAAGGAGAAACAGAGCAAAAACAATACTTTAGACTTTAGTAGTGACTAGATGTTCAGAAACTTTGCACCTTTTTATCTTCAGCGGGGGGAATAAGGAAAGTTTATCAAAAACTGATGTTTCTCTACTGCAGTGCTTTTTATTTATTTATTCATTTTCTGTTCGTGTTTTTCATCTTTGTGTTGGTCTGTAAGCGCCCAAAAAGAGTACTTTTGATTATGATTGATTTTACTCAACTTCAGATCTGAACAAGGAAAAGGTTTTGCTGCAAATCTTCTGTTTTTCTCTCATCTCAGCCCCCAACAGATAGAATCAGATGAAGGAATCCTATCAGGCCTCAACACTCACCCTGAAAGAGAAGTCTGAGGGATTTTAGAGGATCAGAAGATTTTTAGGTAACTAGATGCCAGACATTTGATCAGAGAAGAGACAATGATCCTGGCTCATAGGTGGGAGATGATTTACTAACCAGCTAATGAGGTTATTTATTGGACCTAACAGGATGGGGTGTTTATGAAAAATAAAGCAGTGTTTTATTGACTGTAGAGCAGCACGTGTCACCTTCTGAGCACAATATCACAAATTAAAGATTTGATAGCAGCATTTGATTGATTCCTATTTCTGGTTCAGCATCCGTTACGATTGATTTATCCCATGACAAACAGTGAAAGGAAATTAATTCTGGACGTTCAGTGATGTATTTTAAAGAACGAGCACAAAGCGGCTTGAAGCTTAGGCCAGCATTTGTTCAATAAAACTGCTGAGAAAATAAATCCCTGCTACAGCGTTGGCTGAAGAACGGAGAGGATAATAAAAGTAAGCATTTGTAAAAATGGACTTCAATTCTGGGCTGGTTGTAAGGAAACGTGGCCTTGACTCTGTAGTATGTTTTTGAAAGTGAAAGGTTTTGAGAAAAATGAAAAGCTGTTACAGAATAATGGCATCAAAGACGAAATAAACAAGGACAAACAACTTGAGTTATTCCACATATTATTACATTATTTTCTCTTTCTGTTAATATCGATTCTATTAAAAGAAAAAGTTTTAGGAAAAGAAAGTATTCTTTCCAAATAACAATGAAGTTGATTAAAATGTAAGACTTTATGAAGAGTTTGAGGTTTTCTTAACCAAAAGGAAAATATATGATCAGTTTTTCGATGTCGAAAAGAACAATAATCATATAAGAAAGACTTTGACATAGCAGCCATAAACACAAAATATATAAACATATAAACATCAGATATTTTTAGATCCTGGAACGTCACCATTCTGGAATATGAGTTTGTTTTGTCTAGTTGTTGTTTCTAATATTTCTAGATGGATGTTTTGAAGGGACCTAAAGAAAGGAAATAGTCTTAGATGAAAGACTGAACAGACTGGCAATTTATCCTGGACAAAGTATTTTATTTCTGTCAAAGAAAAAGAGTTTAAGACATTTTCAGACTATTTTTTTTACCAGATTTTTTCACAGGAATCTTGTAAACTTGAAATTTAGTTTTTCTTCAAGAGAAGAAATCATGGCATCATTCAGTGATGATCTTTTCTCTTTATTTTCTCTTTATGTTTCTAGTTTGTACATTGGGATGAGCATTTTTTTCCCCCTGCACTCTGTTGGCATGTGCTTCATAATCTGTTAATAGCTTCTTTTGTATTTATTAATTACAAAGCCTAGTTGCATGTGGTGTCCTGCAGTTCATTAATCATTTTTTCTGGACCGGTAAATGTTGATTTGCAGTGCAGCTGCGGGAACAAATCAACTGTACAAAATACCAAAGAGAGCCATGTGTTATAAAAGTTTGTTCATTTAGCTGATGGATTACTTGACTGTTTCGTAATGTTTGCTTGAATCGATTTGAGTGCCCGTCAATAAATCTGCAGAATTTCTAGCGGAGACGAATAAAACCACATTGTCTCTGCAAGTATAAATGAGATGGAGGAAGAAAATGATTCAGCCCTAATGTGTATCATTAAAACGGCCCTCATACTTTTCAAACATACTTACCTTTATTAGATGTTTAGACATTGACTTATTTCCACATCTTAGAGTGTGCTTTTTGTCAGGCTTGTTACGAGTGCGGTGGACAACACAGGGCTTACGCTCCATCTCTGCAGTCTTTGCTCTTCTCTCCGGCCCCGCCGACTTCTTTGCACTTATCCCAAGTCACGACTCTTTGGGGGCTCCACAGCAGAGAAGCGTAAATTGAAGGATCAGTTTTCCACGGCATCAGTGGTAAATGTATTGGGTAGACCTGAATGAAATGACACGGATGTTTCAGCGAGTGCCTCCAAATTGGTTCCTCGTGCCTAAAAGTAAGAGACGTGACTCTGCAAAGATGACTATTGATTCCTTCCATGTTTTTCTTCTGCAACTGCTAATTTCCAAACATGCTCCTATTTGTACATTAAGCCCAAAGGCGACGAGCTCTGTTCTAAAATCACAAGATAATTACTAAAACTGTATTAAAGTCATTGCTGTGGAATTTAACCCTTAACAAAACTGTTTCTCAGTTCAACTCACACAGGTTAAACCGGAACTAATTCGTGTTCATAGAAATGTTGAACTAGTTTTTGCTCATTCATAATTTATTTCCATAAGATATGCTGAAAATGTATAGAAGTCATGACTTCATGCATCTATTAGTAAATTGATTAGTAAAGGAGTTTGAGCTTGACTTGATCATCATGTAGAGTTTGCAAGCTGTTTGTTTCTAGACCATTTACATGGTTTTGTATCTCTCCTTTTGTTGCTTTAACTGAGTTCAAACCACTACAGATTCTATTTCTGTTTAACCACATCAGCCGACAAAATTGTCACTCATATTAATCAAACGACACATCTTATCTCTGCTGTAGCCGCCTGCAAACTCACACCGTCGTTCCCTGCCTGCAGCAGGCTCCCACGCAAATAACAGAACCAGGGAATGCAGAAACCGCTCAGCTTAATCGATGAGTTTTGATGTCTAGAGCATGTATCTTCAGTTTAACGTTTACGTGGAGGCAGAGGCACACTCTCATCAATAACGCGCCCGGCACACACAGACATGTGCTTGTAAATCGCCTGCAAGGAGAAATGCTGCAACTCCTTTTCTGCATATAGATGCTGAAGTTTGTTCTAAGTTTCAGTTTAGCGTTACCGTCCTCCGATAGTTTGTAATGCTCGGCTCGGTTTATGTTTTTCACGTAATAAAAAAGTGTCTTTTGTTAGGAAATTATTACTTAGATGGCAAATTCTTTAACGACGTAATGTTATATGTTTGTGGCACAGTTTCATCTTTTGTAGAAATTTCCACCATAATGAATCATAGTGAAAACAAGAGCTTTTCCTTTTGGTCAGCTTTGCAAAAAGATCTTTTGAGGGAGTCCGAGACGCCAGGCTGCTTTTCCACACTACGTCTGACAGAAATCCTATTTCACTTCAATTAAACCTCCTCTCCCCCCTCACGGTTCTATTTAAGTCCAGGAAACCAAAAGGTCGTAGCTTCAACAATAGGTGGCAACCTCCCCTTTGCTCTACTCCTTTGATGGAGCTCACTAAACTGTACATGTCTGCTCCTGATGGCATCACTTTTAATTATCTCCTTGGCAGACTAGCTGGCCAGATTAAATAAGCTCTAGTATTAGATTACTGTTAGTGAGACTCATCTGTTGTCCTATTCATACAAGATGACTTAATTTTTCTTTTTTTCACCCTAATTATTTATTTAGTGATCAAACGGAACATGTCAACGCATGAAATTTGTTTTAGACCCCGTAAAGAGAGCAGCATAATCTCAGACTCATCCCCCTGCCTTCATTTTGTCACAAACAAAAGTTGCGTAATATTTGTTTCACGGGCCGTTGGACAAACCCATGTGAGAGTCCCCTTCTCTGGGGCCAAGCGCCACTGCAAAGTCCCGACCACTGAAGCACTCAGTCTCCGTCTTTTTCTCCAGACACAATAAACCGAACGAGAACTGACTGCAGGGCAGCAGATGGACAAAGACGGGCGCAGAAATGCACTACCTCTTCTGTGAGAGGAGCTGTAAACACGCAGGACTTCAGTGCCGTGCTCTCACGCTGCTGTGGCTCTCTGAATATTCATCCTCGTAGCCCTCCCACCGTATTCCCTCCCCCGCGCCCTCCATCTCTCCTCCCATCCCTCGCCTGCGCGCTCCGTGCCGTTTTATGCTGAGCACAAGGCACACAGATGTAAGTTTAATCCAGGCAACAGTAAAAGCTGGGAAATGAATCCTTCCCCGTTCTTATTTTTTTACATTTTTTTTTTTTTTTACTGATGTGCAACTGTAGTCAGAAGAATTTTCATCAGTCAGCGCGGCTGTAAAGGTGGACTTGGAGATGAAAACCTGCTGCTGGAACTGTGTGGCGTGTTTTATTCACTCCATCTCTTTGTGTGGATCTAGTCGTTGCCACTCTTAAGGCTTGGCTACAAGAGGGTTTTTTTTGTTTGTTTTTTTGGTTTGTTTTCCTTTTAGAGAAAGCTGCAGGACTACGACAGTTTTCCTTCATCTTCACATTAAACAGAAGGACGATTGAATGAATCAAAAAGAACACAATTCTATGCTCATTATGTACAGTTTAACGCTTTTGATTTTTGTTTTTCGCATTTAGTTGGACTTCATGTCTCTAACTCAGTGATTGCAGTTTTGCTTGGTCCCAGCTCAGAGGAAAAAGCAACAATGTAGTCCAGGGGTTTGGACTTTCTCGGACAGGATTTCCACCTGATCAGTGATCCGTCACTCTTTGCGAGCAAAAAAACCGTGGAGGGATTACTGACGGTCTCGCAGCGTTCGCCTCGATTTGGAGCATCCTTCAGACTCAATTACTACACGTTCTGGGGAGGGTCCTCACACTCTCTGCCTCGGGGGAGTTTTTTTCTGTTTTTATTCAGAGAAGAATTTAATCAGAAAAGACCTTAATTCAGCCAGAAGCCAGGATGCAGGTGTCATTAGTGTGCACAGATCACCGTGGGGGGGTGAGCCGCAACACAGAGGACCGGCTGAACCGTCAGAACGCCAACAGCCCCAGCACAGGAACCCGCAGCAAGTTCAGAGCGGTGGCGATGGTGGCTCGCAGTCTCGGGCAACTCTCAGTTCAGAGTGTGCCCTCCTCCAGCGAGCAAAGTGTGAAGACTGGCATGAAGTATAGGTAGGCATGTCCGAAGACGTTCCACAGCCACATTTCTTTGATATTTTGGATCTGTTGTATTTTTCAGTTTGCCGCTTATGTTAATCTTGATAAGCCGTATTGTCAAAATTGTAACGTCTATCTGAAAATGACTGCAGAGGATGACATAGTAACATTCCCAGAAAAGATTTTACCTTAATTATTTTTCTTTTGTCCCTTACAATGGTGCACTTTGTAAATTCAGCCGTGTACATTAAATTTGATCTTAGTTGTCATTAACCAACTTTTAAGTGCTCGAAAAACAAACCTACTTTGTGGCCCATTCATATCTATAAATCAATATTTATGATTGAAAATTCTCAGATTTTTAGGATGACATTTTTCACGTTTAGAATCGACTCCATTACATCCGTTTTATTAAACACCGCTCCTGGGATATTCCCCAATGATTTGCTTTTATATATATATGCTATATCTGCAATATATTTATGGATCTCACCCTTCAGGCGGTCAATGTGTACTTTTGCGATGTGCTCCAATTTATTAAAATAATCATTTGGAGCACAGATGAGATTTATCCTTCCAATACGTTAAAGCATTAAAACTAAAAACTCCCTTAAGAGCTTTTTCTGCAACAACCCACAAGAAAAGATGGGAAAAATAAATATTTATATTTATTGAAAAATATCAGAAAGTACTGCTTGCTTCTCCACTTGTTTCAAGCTTAATAAGAATTTGATTGTGTCGTGGGACATATGCGTTGATGCTTAAGCTTTTGATTCCTTCATTTTTTGTTTCTGCCCCTCCCCTAGCAAAGTAACCTTCAACACAAATTATTCTTTTTTGTACATGACATGCTTTGAAGTAATAGAAAAAGTCCAAATTCAGAATTACCCAATCAGTTCAAGTGAAAGACAGAAAAGAAAATCAGTATTGGCCAAAAAGAAAAAGCCAGATTGGTGCAGTTCTAGTATTTTTGCAGTTCTGTTGCCTCCATTTTGACGAGGTTTTTATTTTAGTTCTGACAGTTTCTAAGCCCTTTTAGTCAACATGAAGCATCAGCGAAAGGAAGAATGACAGAATTTAATTTAACAGTTAATAATTTAGCTATTTTGGCAAATATTTATTGCACACATGCATTTTCTATCAAATTTGCAAATGCCTCACATTTGCATGGTGAATTATTTAAATGAGCTCGGCTATTACGCGAATGCTGCATGAGGAAGAGATGAATAAGAATGAAGATCTCTTCAAATGCACACTTAAAGCTCTGAGTAGTGCGTGTCAGACAGAGCAGTGGCAGAGAGCTAATGATCGAGGGCTCTGTGTTAAAGTACACTGTGGTTTGTAACAAGCTGGCCACTAATACTGTGTCAGCGTTGCAGCACTTTTTGCTCCTAATTTCTTTCTTGTTTTGTAATCATCTGTTCTTTGTGTTTCCTTCCATTCAATCTAATGTCTGATAAATGAAATACATTACCAGAATGCTTTGATAAAGTGCAATCAAAGTAAAATTCTCATTGCCAATAATTTATTGTTACTCTTTTGATTTAAAAAAAAAAGACTAGTTGCAAAGATTAATTATGTGGCTCATTTCTAATCTGCAGATATTGTAAAAATGTGATGTGGTTAGACTGATTTTAGCCAATTCCAATTTTACTCTATCAACTCTGAGAAAATGTATTAGCCACATTAGTAACTAGGGGTATTGGAGCAGGCATAATCTGGCAACGCTGTAGGGAGAGATATCACTATACAACATGAATTTAGAAGATTGTAAAATTGAGATTGTAAACTGTCTTTAGCAAGGCTCCCCATGTTTAGCAAAACATGCAATATGTGGAAGCATTGGTGACAATATGACCTGTGACAAATGCCCAACCGAACAGTGGTGATGTGTTTCTGCTTTGGGCTCATTGCAAACACAGAACCCAGATAGTCAGCAGTTTATCCAGCTTCTGGGGGGAAAAAAGGAAATGTATTATTTTCATCTCAACAGCATGGTTTTACTGAAGAAGCGGCACTCTGCAGCATCTGTTTGAGAAAAATTTTACCAGGTTTTGTTGAAGCCCCTCTAAAAACATTGTCTGTTGCCTGATAAACAAGCTACACTAAATATATCACTGGCAAAGAAAACCTGAGTGCCTGAGTCTTCAAGTATTCAGGTGTATATGTAATATATATAGCAAACTAAGCATTTCTTGAATTAAAATTGTATGACTTGCAATATATGACCCAACCCTTTTCGTCAGCATGTTTTTTAGTGATTAATGTAGCTAGGACCAGAACCTTTCTTTTATGTGCTAAAAGTCTTGCTCTCTCTGAATAAAGTGCAAACATGTCTCAACATATTATAGAAATATTTTATATCTTCTTTGTCTTTGTGCTTTATCTAGTTTCGATTTAGTCACCGATACTGAGAATAGCTAACTTTGAGTTTTCTTCAGTCAGTAACAGCATCTACCCTCCAGTGTTGTCGCAGAAACCTGGAAGCACTGATTTCACTGACTGAAAAAAGATCAACTTTTCCAACTGGCAGGTCGACGGTACGAGCAAATCAAGCTGAAAATTGTCAGATTCTAGTCAACATGCAATTTGTATGCACTGCCAAAAGGTCCGACAGGGTCACGTATGCTGTACTGATACTTGGTTTTGTGTGTCAAGCTGTACAACAATTCTTTGAATTAGACACCAACAAACTCAATCGGTTCTTTTACCAGAAATATGTGGATGGGGCTTTTGTGTGGAATTGAAAACTTTTACTGTTTGGTGTCAAGTTGTGCCTCTCCAAGTATTAAGCACAGTGAAAATAACGTGAGGGTTGATTTGAGGTTGATTTGTTGAACCGTATGACCCATCTCCGGCGCTACTGTCTGCAGCCACATCACAGTCTTCCGCATGTAATTTGCTGGCGGCAACCTCCTCGTGTTGTCTCTCTGTCATCATTGAGTCTAATGATATTGAATGAGAAAAATCATTTGCAGTTCAGGGGCCAGCGGCTTTTTGTGTTCTTGTGCTCTCGCAGTGTGTTGCGAAGTACACGACTGGACGTGTTCTTGTAAACTCGTATGTGATGTAAATCAAAGGAAATGCGCACCGTGATGCGGCGGGAAGCCCCAAACGTTCCTGTGCAGAGGGCAGGGCATAAAGTCTGGGGTTTTGTTTGGAAGAAACGGGAAGGAAAAGGAAACGGAAGGGGAGATTGCTGGTGTATTCACAATGCCCAAGAGGAAGTACAGTAGGATGAAGTGATCTATGCTCGTGTCACTGTGAATCTCTCAAGCGTGCCTCTCGGAGTTGAAGCTTGCAAGCCCTTTAACATGGCCGTCCATTTCTCTTTCCATCTTTAGGATTTTCCCCGCCTCTCTTTGCTAAAAGGAGAAGGAGTTTCTCATTTCTCTATTTAGACAGCTGAAGAGGTTTGTGGTTTTAAAACCGTGCCCCAAAAGAATACAGTAAAGCTGTATTATCCACCCGCCAAAAACTTTCCCTGATTATCCCCCTCTGCACAATCGCTGTGAAATTCAAATCAGACTCATTTGCATAAAATCCTCGCCTTCTCCTTGAATGGCAGCCTCGAGTTTGACCCGTCTGCATCTCCGAGTTTGATTTCAGGTTAGTTTGGGAGTGACCTTACTCGGCAAGGCCACCAAAATCATCAAAGTGAACGTCTTTTCACGGCATGGAGGAATCGCGGCAGCTTTATTGGCCTGCCAGCCGTTTTTAAATGGAACTCTGCATCTGACTGATACGACTGGGTAAAATCACCAAGCTTGACTGTGAATCGTCATCCTCTTCCAAGGAATGAATAAATGCCTTCATTCTGGACTGAATTAATGATCCACACTAAATGGCTTGTGATTATGTAAAGCAGCCTTTGTCAGGGGATGTCTGTGAGATTGGGAGAGCAGTGCAGGTGAGGCAGTTCATTCTGGTATTAGCCTTCGTTCAGTCAGCCAAACCCTGCTGATGGGGAGAGTTTTATTTGCTAAGATGCAGCAAATCTCCAAAGTCCTGCTGAGTTACAAGAGCTGGAATATGTATTGAATTCCAGCTGGGCTGCCATTTTTGTGCTTTGTGCACACAAAAGTTTGAAGGATTCACCTCAAACTGCTGTGGTTAACAACTGGGAACGGAAACAAGACACCACGGTATATTCGGTGAAAGCCGTATGTTGGAAGTGTTCATTCTGCTTGTGTTAGAGGTCAGGTGCCACTTACCTTCTGTTCTGCTGATATTCATATTTCACTTTATTCTGAAACATTGGTGCAGGAAAGATTTGGGATGTCTTGACATGCATGTTGCAAATCCCACATCATTGATTGGTAAATGTTAGGGATGCACCAATATCAGAATCTGCACTGGAATTCATATTCAATATTAACATTGCTGATATGGCCATTAACTGTTATTTGCCAATGATTTATCTGATTTCACCTTTTTGACCACACCTCTGACGTTCTTTCTCTGCCTAGTTAAACATCCTCAATCCTGCATTGCATCACTGTTACATGACCAGCAAATACAACATGGCCGGCCAATTCCTTCACCTCCTAAAAGACAAACAAGAAGCAACAATTAAATGCAGTTTAACAATACTTTATCAATTTCGAATGGAAAATTAAATGTTTTTGTAACTCATATTATTCAAGGTTCTTTGCAGAGTTATTGTAGATGGTGATGATTGTGGAAGGATCCGCTGTAGAGGATTTCTGAAGAAGCCTCTGACTGATAAACCACTCTGCTGTTGTACAACAGTCTCTTGAAGAGGATGCTCAGGATTGTCCATAATTTTATTGATTTTTATGAAGAATTTTTCATCATCTCCAGACGTTCCACAGTCATCCCTGTAATAGAACCAGCCTTCTTCATCAGGTTTTTCAGCTTTTTAAAGTCCCTGCCTCTGAAGCGGCTAACCCAACAGATGATGACAGAAGGGGTTACAATCTTCTCAAAAATATTGTAGAAGATCTGCATAAAGTCTGCTCTGTCCCTCCACTGTTGTCCAAGCAAACACAGAG